GGCGTCCTTCTCGAGCAACAGCTTGACCACCGCCTCATGTCCGTTCTCTGCTGCCCACGACAGTGGTGTCTGGCCGTCTTTCTTGTCTCTCGACTCGAGGTCGGCGCCCTTCTCGAGCAACAGCTTGACCACCGCCTCATGTCCGTTCTCTGCTGCCCACGACAGTGGTGTCTGGCCGTATTTCTTGTCTCTCGACTCGAGGTCTGGGCCCTTCTCGAGTAGTAGCTTGACTACCGCCTCATGCCCGTTCTTTGCTGCCCACGACAGTGGTGCCTGGCCATACTCCTTATCTTTCGACTCGAGGTCGGCGCCCTTCTCGAGTAGTAGCTTGACCACCGCCTCATGCCCGTTCCGTGCTGCCCACGATAGTAATGTCTGGCTATACTCCTCGTCTCTTAACCTAATGTCGGCGCCCTTTTCGAGTAGTAGCTTAACCACCGCCTCATGCCCGTTCTGTGCTGCCGATAATAGCGGTGTCTGGCTATCTTCCTTGTCTTTCGACTCGAGGTCGGCTCCCTTCCCGAGTAGTAGCTTCACTATCGTCTCGTAGCCGTACTGGATAGCCAATAATAATTGCTCTTTATCATATTCTTTATCTCTGGACTCGAGGTCGGCGCCCTTCTCAAGTAGTAGCTTGACTACTGCTTCATGCCTGTTCTGCGCTGCCCATGACAGCGGTGTCTGGCCGTCTTCCTTGTCTCTCGACTCGAGGTCGGCGCCCTTCTCGAGTAGTAGCTTAACTACTGCCTCGTGCCCGTTCCGTGCTGCCCACGACAGTGGTGTCTGGCTATTTTCCTTGTCTATCGACTCGAGGTCGGCGCCCTTCTCGAGTAGTAGCTTCACTATCGTCTCGTGGCCATACTGCGTAGCTACTAATAATTGCTCTTTTCCGTATTCTTTGTCTTCTGACTCGAGGTCGGCGCCCTTCTCGAGCAATAGCCTAACCACCGCCTCATGCCCGTTCTCTGCTGCCCACAATAGCGGTGTCTGGCCGTATTTCTCGTCTCGCGACTCGAGATCGGCGCCCTTCTCGAGCAACAGTTTGACCACCGCCTCATGCCCATTCTCT